TGGCAAATCCTGCTCTTCAAACAGAAGGTGCCCAGCTCAAATATCCTGCAGGGCAGAGCTGGGACAAGTGGCTGAGGTTTGGGGCAATGTCTTCCTCTGGTGCGCCAGGGACCAGATTCCACCTGCCAAAGCAAACACAGCCCCTGCTGGAACAAAGAACAGCAAGAGAGCACAGCACTGAGCATCCTGTGCCACAGGAATGGCTCAGTTCCTGCCAGCCTGAAAATGGGAGCAGGGAAATGGAGAAAACCCTCTTGGACCACGAGAATTCCTGCTCTGGGAACAGCTTTAGAAATGTACCAGTGCTGGAGCAGAAAAAGGCTTCCTTTGTTGGCATTATGCCCCAGAAACAGGAGCAGGAAAGGTGCTGTGGCTGGGCTGGCATCACAGCAGTCAGCCTGTGATTAATCCCTGAGATTGTGTCAGCCCTGGCTCGTGCTTGTGCAGTCTGATACCCCTGGTGAGCGGTGCCTGTCACTCCTGTCCCAACAGTCCACCATGAGCATGGACATGAGCAGCCAAAGCCTTGGGAAAGGCTGGGATTACAGCCTCCCTCAGAATCTGAACATCTCCACACCCAGTCCTTGCTCTCTCCCTGACACTCAAAATGTCACTAAAAATGATGCTTGAGGTGTTCAAACACCACAAATTTCACACTGTAAACAGCATTTACAAGTTTCTTTCTTTTTTCAGAACTAAAGTTGAGACTGGACATTCTTCTGGTGTAATATCTAAAAAAGTACACATGGAGTTGCTGTAGTGTCACATGAACAAACCCCAAAACATGCAAAAGGCACATTTCCAGCCTTCCTAACAAGTTGACTGGATAGCCCTTTCCAGCCTTTTTGCAGGTTCTGACTTGTGCTGATTTGTTCTCCACACTCAGACCATGTAAATTCTTTGCTTACCCCGGTGGAAAGTCCCAAGAACTGTAGATACTGTCCAAGGACTTTCACAGCAGCAGGTATAGCATTAATTCCTCTGGGGTCTCAGCCACCCCCTGTGCTCCTTCAAGAACCACAGGGATTACCAACTACTGTCTCCAGGTTCAGAGGGTTCACAGGTACAGTCCTCACACCATCCTTCCAGGACCTGACCCTTTTATTTTAGTAATATCACTCTTTTCACAGAAGTCCTGAAATCCATCTTCTAGAAATTCAAGTTCAGTGCAATCTTACTTGGAAAAAAAAAGAAAATCCACCTATGTTGCTGAAAAAAACCCAAACCAAATCAAAACCTCCTATCATTGGCTCTTCCCAATAGGATTTAATTCCCCCCACTTTGTCATTTCCTAGTTTCATTTGTCCAAAAGAAGAATCCTGCTTCTCCTCTTTTCTGAAACAGCACTCTATATATTCCTACTTCTTCTTAAGAGCTAATAAACAGGATTAATTTTTTTAGGTTTTGAAGTAGAAGAAAAGCTGAGCAGACTTAACCCCCCTCCGAACCTTGCACAAAGCCTGGATTTCACAAGTTGACTTGCAGCACAAATACACCTCCCAAAGAATGCTTTTTCTAACGTTATCTGGGAAGGTTTTGCAAAATAGGCATCAAGCACTAATTCTCTTTACACCACTAAAATGATACTTACAGCTGGGAAGAAGTGGGATAGAATTCCCTCAGTGTAAGTAGCTGTGTCCTGCCAAACCCAGCTAAGGCTGAGCTGGATATTTGAAATACCTGCTGCTCAAAAGCTTTGCTTTGCTGCCTGCTCCAGAGGGAAGTAGCACAGTAAATGCCATTTGATGGGCCACAGCACACAGAGTGGGCCTGCACAGCCCAAACTGGGCAAGGCCCAGCACTGAACCCCAAACCCATGGGTTTAACTGATTTCTCTAAGTCTGGAATCCAAAGTTGCCAGGATGGCAACACCCTCACTCTTTGCTATCTGCTCCTGTCACAAACCACAGCTATTTTAAAGCTTTCACATTTATGTGGATGCAGCCTCCCTAACAGAATTCTCCGTGTCCATCTGAGCAATCCAGGATACAGCTCAGGCTGCTGCAGTGGCCGATCACCAGTGCTGGAAGCACATCCAAAGGGTGGGGAAAGCCAAATTTAGTTTTCAGGCTTTTTTCCTCCCTCCTTTGATATTCTCGGCCTGATCCAGATGCACCCTGCCAAACTCTGCCCCCACTGCACTACCATTTCATGAGCTATTTCACACCTCCCATTTCATTCTCCTGCGGAGCCAAATCCACGCAGACACTGCTGGTGTCCAATGTGTGATGGAATGGAATCCTTCCCTGGACACCGGGAGAGGCCACGGGATGTCAGGGGTGAAGCATCTCCATGGCAGAAATGATGCTCAGCTGTGCAGTTCCTCCCATACCTTCCTGGTCATTGGATCCAAATGTCACAAATTTCTCAGCTTTCTATGGATCTGAGAGACAGGGACATGGAGTAATATGGGAGAGGGTGATCACAGGCTTGGGGAAGGGAGAAGCTCAAACTAGGCAGGGGGAGTACTTTAAAACAGAAGACAAAGAAAAAATAAAGAGAAAAAAGAAGGAAAAATACAGGAAAAGTAAAGAAAAAGGGAAAAATAAAAAGAGAAAAGGAGAAGAGGGGAAAGAGGAAAAGAAGAAAAGGGGAAGAGGGAAAGGGGGAAAAGGGGAAAGGGAAAAAGGGAAAGGGGAAAAGAAGAAAAGGGGAAAGAGGAAAAGGGGGAAAGGGGAAGAGAAAGAGAAAAAAGGAAAAGAGGCAAAGTGGGAAAGGGAAAGAAAAGAAAGTAAAAGTAAAATGAGAAAAGGAAGAAAAAAGGAAGAAAGGGAGACAGGTGGCTGGTTCTATGCCCATCCTTTAATGGATGAGACCAACTCCCAGTGAAGGGAGGAGAGGAGGGAAGGGGAGGGGAGGGAAGGGAAGGGAAGGTGCGGGAAGGTGCGGGAAGGGGCGGGAAGGTGCGGGAAGGGGCGGGAAGGTGCGGGAAGGGGCGGGAAGGTGCGGGAAGGGGCGGGAAGGTGCGGGAAGGGGCGGGAAGGTGCGGGAAGGGGCGGGAAGGTGCGGGAAGGGGCGGGAAGGTGCGGGAAGGGGCGGGAAGGTGCGGGAAGGGGCGGGAAGGTGCGGGAAGGGGCGGGAAGGTGCGGGAAGGGGCGGGAAGGTGCGGGAAGGGGCGGGAAGGTGCGGGAAGGGGCGGGAAGGTGCGGGAAGGGGCGGGAAGGTGCGGGAAGGGGCGGGAAGGTGCGGGAAGGGGCGGGAAGGTGCGGGAAGGGGCGGGAAGGTGCGGGAAGGGGCGGGAAGGTGCGGGAAGGGGCGGGAAGGTGCGGGAAGGGGCGGGAAGGTGCGGGAAGGGGCGGGAAGGTGCGGGAAGGGGCGGGAAGGTGCGGGAAGGGGCGGGAAGGTGCGGGAAGGGGCGGGAAGGTGCGGGAAGGGGCGGGAAGGTGCGGGAAGGGGCGGGAAGGTGCGGGAAGGGGCGGGAAGGTGCGGGAAGGGGCGGGAAGGTGCGGGAAGGGGCGGGAAGGTGCGGGAAGGGAAGGGAAGGGAAGGGAAGGGAATTTCTCAGAAGCTGGGCTTGGTGCACAGTGGCTGCAAAGGAGCAATTCCCTTTGCCAAGTCTCAGCATTCTCCCCATTGTCCCCACACAGATGAAATCCATGCCTTTACCCTCAGACACATCCCTGCAAAGCACTGGAGAGTGGGAGCAAGGCGCCAGAGGAGCAGAAGCAGGCCTCACCTCCATCCTGCCTCATCCCAGCTATCTGCTGCTCCTGAGCCTCCTTCCTGCATGGGGACACTTTGCAGGGTTTAGGACATAATTATACTCGAGGCCACCCTGTGAATCTCTGGAAGGGTCAGCAATGTGGGGCAAGGATCAGAAATTATCTGCTCTGGAGCGAGAGAAAAACTGTTATGTTCTCCAGGCTCACCTGCAACAGACAGGGAATAATCCAAGGTTCACCCCTCCGCTAAACACTGCAAATGTACCCCTAATGTGAGGGCTCAAAACACACTGAATTCCGATTTCCTACAGTCCCCTGAAGCTCCCTTTCCCAGGCACTGCACTGCCCATGGCTGGGACAGACATGTTCCCACCCTCAGGGTTTGCTGTGCTGCCTGTCAGCCTGGGCTGCTTGGCTGGGAAGCGCCGTTTTTGTGCCAGACTGACGCCAGGGGGTTACAGCAGTCCTGAAAAATGCCAAAACACTGGCAGATTTGAGATATGTCCACTTGGAGCTTCTCTTCCCTCTCCCGAGAGTATATTCATAAACATGGACAAGAACCTGTGAAAGCTGCCCACAGAGAGGAATTCCTTGCTGGAGCTCAGCCTGGCCAGGCTCCATCTGCAGAACAGGGCAAGGGGCTCTGCTCCTTGGGATGTGGGATGGCTGGTTGCTCAAGATTCACCACCTGTCTGTGTGTACTCATTGATAAAATGGGTGTTCAGGGGGTGCTGTCCTAAATCCAGGAAAACAACGCAACACAGGAAGGAACTCTGCACTGAACCTGCCAGTGCCCTGCATCTCCCACAAAGGGTGACTCACTGAGCATATTAAAACCCATTATGTAGCATTCTGTAAAGTCACACAGATTAGCAGATGAAGAATTTGTGGGACAGAGCAGCAGATTCCTCTGCCCAAAGCATCCTGAGATGAGAATTCCATGCCAGGTGTCTGGGAGCAGATCAAGAGTCCTAGCAGCACACTGTGGTAACACACCACTGGCTGGGATTCTCCCTGCTGGGGTCACTGGTATGTCCAGGTGTCCATGTTCTCCCCAAAGTGACCTTGGCATGGGCACACCCACTCCTGTCTCTAGGCTCATCCCTGGGCATCAGTTAGGATTATTTGCTTCACACTCTCCTTTTTCTCCCCTTAATTCTTCTCCTCTCCTAAAACGTGCTGGTGGCAGCAGCACAGGCAGCATCACTGGGGAAACGAAGCAGGGAAGAGGTGGAAAATCCCAGACACACCACAGGGAAGCATCACATCCCAACATTCTGGGGCTGTGTTGGAAAGAGAATGAAACGCAGGCTGGGGGGGAGAAAATAGGGCATTTACCTGACAGGAGATCTGCACCAGGTACACCAGTTCCTTGGACTCACAGCCATTCCTTGTCACTTCGTTCTGTTCCTCTGGGAGCGAGAGCTGCAGCGAGGGACAGGGAGAGAGAAGAACAGGTCAGCGAGGGCCGAGAGCAGGCACAGAGCGGCACACGGAGCACAACATCCACATCAGCCTGCGCCAAGACACGCTGAGCCTCAGGGCATCAGGAAAGGGCTCATCTGGCTGGAGCTGCCACAGAGGAGACACTCAGCACACACAGAACATGGAATGCCACTGGATTCTGGAACCTCACCTGACAGATTAACAATAAAAATACGGTTCACAAATTAAACAATTATGGGGAGGCAAACGGTTCGAGGTAGGAATTAAGCCTCCAGCTCCGAAGTCTGCAAAATTAATTGCTCACTGAAAATATCTTGATAAATATTCATGGATAGTGAATATAGAACAGTGTTTCTCCCTACTCCCTTCCCACATTTTATTTTTTTGTTTTATACATTCAGGCAGATAATGTAAATTAGACAATAAAACATATCTCCAGATTTCAATGTTGTCAAGCAATTCACCCCAGCAGAGAGTTTTATGGCACCATTCATCACATCTAGAGTCATTAACTGCATCATCAGGATGTGTTTGTGTGAGAGCAGTGAGGAGACATTCCTGCACATGGACTGAGCGCAGAGCATCTGGCTCCTGGGCCTGTTATCCCACTAAAATGGCTTATGTTTAATTATCTTCTCTGAGAACAGAAATCAAAAATCATTGTAAGCAAGTTAAGACTGTTTTCAAAGCAAATAAATAAAGGAAATGTGTACATAAAACTTAAAAGGCTAAAAAAAAACCTAATTAGCCATGAGCAAAAAAGCCCTGAAACAAATGAAAGAATAAATGAAAAAAAAAAAAAAGGCTGAGAAGAATAATCCCAAGTTGTTGTATTTAATGAATGTAAGCAAGTGAAAATCAGAAGTGGGTTGTGAGACACCTCATGAAAGAAGGACAAAGGCAAAGTTCTTTCCATACAAATGACCGTGACACCTGGAATTTATTTAACTTTGTTCTGCCAGAATCTCCCTTCTCTCTGTAGGGAAGCGGGAGGTGTCTCTGCCCATGGCAGCGGGTAGAACAAGATGGGCTTTAAGGGCTCTTCCAAGCCAACCCAATTCTGAGATTCTATTAATCCAATGTGGGTTTCCTACACCTGGAGACATGTTTCCATCCTCTAATCCCCCCTGTGCTCATTGAGGGCACACAGAGCCCCCCAGCACCCAAAGGAATTTCAGGTGTCCCTTCATCACTGAGCCCAGCAGTGGCAAAGCTCATCACCACGGGCCCCAAAAAAACAACAGCCAGATAACAAAATCACCATCAGGCAACTGCAGAGCTCCTTTAAAGGAATTCAGGGCCTGACTGCAGCAGAATGTGGTGGGGTAGAGAAAGGCACGGTGTGAATTCCTCACCCTCCCTTTCACACCCTGACCCCAGGCTGGGCTGCAGCCACACCAGGGCTCTGCACAGACCCCTCAGGAGGAGCAGTGGATCTGCTGGAGGTGTGAGCAGGACACTGAGGTACAGCAATCTCCCTACCCAAGGACCATCCTGCTGGTCATGTTCTGGGAGCTCACAGCCCCACTTCAGTCACTGTTCACACGAACTCACTGTGGGGAGAAGTGCCATTTCAGCCCACTGATGGCCCTACACCCATGCACCTGTCTCATTTCAGAAGGGAACTGTAAAACCCAGCTGAACACTGCTCCTCTCCCACACACAGCCTCGTGCTGACTGAGATAGAGACAGAAACTGTTTACACAGGAAAATCTGTGGGGTTTATCCTGCAATCCAACTGTCCTCACAGCAAAATACCCCAAAGATGAATATTCGCCCATGTTCCTTGTCCCCACGTGGTTCAGTTTGTATTTTGCTTTGTTAATAGACATGCACCAAAGCCCTCCCAGAAATCATGGATGTCCTGATGTTTAAAAGCCTTTCCTGCTGCTGTATTCCATGTAAACAGAACATCCTGGAAAGCACAGTTGCCCCCAGGCTTGATTTGAAATCCAAGCACAAAGCAGAGGCCTCTCCTGACCTTACTGGACTCTGAACATGACTCACAGGCAGAATCTGCTTGGCTCCAAAGTGGAACATTGATTTTTGTGTTCTTAAAGAACAGAGCAGCCAGCGGGGCCTGGTGGATATCCCTGTACCTGTGCCAGTGTGTTTTCTTGAGGTAAACAACCTCTAAAGAGTATTTATTGCAACCGATCAAAGTTAAACAGCATATACTTTATAATATATAATCTGCAATGTTTCTTCTTCACATTGAAATTGGCTCCTGAGCCTGATGAACAATTACAAGGCATTAGATCCCATTAGGTTCATTTATTGTTGGAATATATATGCTTAGCTAGGATGAGTGGATATGACCAATTTCATAAATGACCTTTAAGAGTATCCTAAACTCTTCATGGATAGTATTTCATGATACACAAAGAAAACCTTGAAAACAGTCATACCACACTTCATGTGTATGAATAATGCAGAGTCTTGTGAACATTACAAAATTAGAGAATCCCAGAATGGTCTGGGTTGGAAGGGACCTTAAAGCTCATCTGGTTCCTTGGGCAGGGACACCTTCCACTGTCCCAGGTTGCTCCAACCTGGCATTGGACACTTCCTGGGACAGGGCAGCCACAGCTCCTCTAGGCAACAATGCCAAGGCACTGCTCAAATTTTCTTTACACAGCTGGGGACAAGTCTGGGAGTCTGCACCCTGCACATGACCACTGAGAACTGATGAAGAATTCAACACAGCAATTTTTTGTCTACCAGCAAACTTGTACCACAAGCTCTGGACTCTTTTTGCCCAAAAGAGCAGCGCTTGCTGGCCAAGACTTTGCTGATCACATATGCAGATTAAACATTAAAATGCTTCTAGTTCATGTCTGAGACAGAGGCAAGCTGGGTGATAAGGAGACTTATTACAGGGGTCTTCTGCATAAGAATATTTATTGGTCATTCCTCTTGTAGGGAAGAACAGTGACAAAACTGAGTTATGATACAGGACATTCAGAATTAAAAACAATTAAAAGATAACTCTTGAGATCTGTGCATCATTTTTTACTTCCAACCACTGCAGAGTCTTGCGTGCTCCTCTTACGAACGGCAAAAGCTGTGAAAAATCATCTCAGGAAAAGCACTACATAAATCTGTTGACAGGATGGGGATTGTTGGCTATTAACAAAGTGCCAAATCCTGCCCAGGTAAGACCTGAAGCCCCTGAGCTCCAGATGTCAAAGGAAGCTCATTCAGCCAGCTTTAACTTTCATCTCCTTGTTTTCTCAGTGATGTCAACTCCATCATCCAGCTCTCCCAGTGAAAGGGTAATTTGTGAGAAGCCTGGGAAGTGTAGATTTGATTTGTCTGTGGAACTTACTTCAACTTCTGCTTCATAAAGCCATGAATGCACTGATCTCACTCATGCACATCACAGCAAGTGAGTAACACAGAGCTGTGGCAGAGAGCTCACAATAAAATTAAAATATGTAAGAAAAACAAAATACAAAAGAAAATAAAAGCCCAAACAAATTCCCCCTCCCAATAGAATTAGAGTAAGGTTAGAATATAATGGGGGAGGAATTCAGTAATTAGATGACAATTAAATAATGAGAACCATAAGCTAAAAAATAATCTTGATTCCAACTAGAAGGAACAGATCATCCTTCCCAAACTCCAAACCTGTCTGTGCAGGTAATTGGTGTAAACTTTTAGCAAACTTTAATTAAACTAATCCGACTGAGACCCCCATCTCATGTCAGCTACACTGACCTGGGACACAGCCAGGGAATAAGACTCCAGAGAGCAGCAAAACCCTGTAAAATGACTCCTACAATTCTTGGGAATTAATTTCAGTCTCCCACACAGCACCTACCAGGTTTCATCTAAATTCCTTGGATAACAATGCCCTGGTTGGGAGCCAGCAGAAAGCCAAGACCTCAACAGGCAATGCTTTGTGTGCACACCAGGGACTGGCTCCTGCAAGAAGCTTTAGGAACACTGTTAGTGCAGAACTGAGACAGGATCAAGCCACAGGGAGCAAGCAGGAGCTGCTTCACAAAAATATTGGGACAATCACAAATATCTGTCACCAGTCTGAGCTGGCAGAGGCGTTTCTGTTCTCTCTCACAGGTGGTGACAGAAACCTGCCTGTCCTTGGCCTTGACCTGAGGGTTTCTTGTGGAAAACATACATTTCATGGCCAGTCAGAGGAATTATGGAGAATCACGGAATTGCTGAGGTTGGAAAAGCCTCTGAGATCGTGGAGTCCAACTGTTCTTCCAGCACTTCCAAGGCCACCATTGACCACTGACATCCATAAGTATCACACCCACATGGAGCTGAAATCTCTTTGGGGATGTGGACACCACCACTGGCCCTGGGCAGCTGTGTCAGGGCTGGACAGCCCTTTCCAGGAAGAAATTTTCCCCAATATCCAATCTAAATCTCCCCTAGAGCAACTTGAGGCCATTCTCTCTCCTCCTGTCCTTGTTCCTTGGGAGCAGAGCCTGACACTCCATGGCTGTCCCCTGTCGCCCTGAAAACTCAGCTTCTGAGCTTGCTAACATAGTTTTCTAAGACTTTCCCAGGACAGTAACTGTAAACATAGAGATAGGTATACATTCCTTCTGTTACACGTCTTGTGATGGGCATCTCTCATGGCCAGTGCAGTGGGAAAGTGTTATCCTGACCATCCAATCCCTGGCCATGGTCAGAAACCTATAAATCCTGGGAGGAAAAATAAACTCTCTCTTCCTTTCACCACACCTTGACCTGTGTCCATGTGATCCATTCAGTCCCCTCCTGTCAGGGAGGTGTGCAGAGCCAGAAGATCCCCCCAAACCTCCTTTTCTCCAGGCTGAGCACCCTCTTCCCAGCTTCCTGGACAAAAAACCACAGCTGCTCTCTACAGCTCTTTCTCTGTGCTTCAAAATATTGATTATTTAATATTAATTATTGCTATTTAGAACAGTATTATTCACCTCAAAGATACAATTATATTGTTTTATATATCTAAATACATGCACATA